CAGAGCATCTGTTCATTATTTAAGAATGTCCACAGTCCTTTAGGCTCTCAGTTACTCAGGTTACAGTGGAAGAAGGTGATGAGTTGCAGTAGAGCGGATGATTCTTGCAGCTTTACAAAATCCGGGTGAACCAACAGGTGCTCTGGCAAAACACTTCATAGACAGCCATTGAGAGCAGAGAACCCCTCCTCAAGGATCAGTTTTTTACATGAGTGCTAAGTGAACTCAAAGGTGTTGAGAATGTAAATATAAACATGCTGGAGTAAATAAAAATCCTCTGCTGTCAAGTACACCACACTTGTAAATCATTTGAGAGCACACAGGTCTGCAGAGAGGGAGTTAAACTTAATGTCCACTTAAAGAGAGGGCTGGACTGAACCTTACATATTTTAAATGCCTATCCATGTCCTTTACATACATCAATCTCTTTAAGCCATGGTCCTCTAGTAATATGTTTTGGTGTAAAACCTTTAGATAAAAAACATAACAGCCAGTTTTCACCAGACTGTCCTGTTGCATGCATGAGGTTCATTGGGGTGTTTGTGTGTCATGACTTCCTCCCTGTGTTCCTGTGCTTGTCTTGACCTTTACAGATTCTTACCAGCCTCTAACTCCACTCATGACTTTGACTGTCTTTGCCTGTTGTTTGCATGTAATACGCACTCTAGCATATAGTGTGTTAAAGTAGATTAAGACATATCTGCACTCTTGAACATAAATATGGGCATTCCTCATGGCTCTAAACCTGGCCCATTGTTGTTTACCTTTGCACTGCTCAGGTTGTGGTTGTCAGCTCTGTGCAGATGATGTGTTTATTTATGTAACTGCTAAGTCACCTGAGCAGGCTGCAGTTGTACTCTCTACCAACCAGTATGTCTGACATCCAACAGTGCCTCATCCAAAAGGCATTATTTTTAAATCTCTCAATAACAGTCTTAATGTGCTTCTCCATCAAAAGAGCTTAGAGTGAAACAGAGATTTAATATTGAATAAAAAAATGAAGAAATGTTTCCAGTCACAGAATTTAAATAAGTTAAATTATTTGAAAAATGTAACTCAAATTAAATTTAAAAGCATATAAAGAATAATAATCTCAACTACTTCAAGCTACATACCAAACGAAGCAGCACCGCTATACATGCATGCTATGGTGTTTTCTCATATATCATACTGCATGACAGCATGGGCACAACCTGTTCCTACTGCAACTAAACACATGGACTTATCATACGACCCAGCAACAAAATTATGGATAAAAAGCCAATATGGTATCACCACTCTAACACCTTTGAGAAGTATAAAAATAATAAATTTTGATAGTTTAGTAATCCTTGTCTCCTTAAACTAATTCACAAATGAATTAATCATTCAGCACATGAACAACTGAGTATATTTGTTAGGGGAAAAGCAGCATCAGGTTTACCAAAGCTCTGCAAACCATGACTGTAAACTGCAGGACAAACCTATGAGAAATGGCCTTTGTTAGGTTTATTCAATGATGATTATAAAATGAATGCATGTACATATAAGCATTGAAGCAAGGAGATGCTCCACTCTGTCTTGTGATTCAGTCAGGAGACCACCCTGCCTTGTGATTCAGGTGGTGGAGCCTCACGTCTTATGAACTGATCAATTGTTCTGTCAGAACAAAACTGTTTTGCAACCATGTGTTATGTTCTGTTAATGAAAGACGGCTGCAGGAGGGGAGTCGAAAAAAGAGCTGGAAGTTAGGTTGGGCTCTTTCCGCTCCTGCAGAAGCTGTTGTTGAAAATCCCTTACTGTGTATTCAGTCCTTCTTTTACAAACCTACATCTTTGAACCTAACAGCCTTCTCAGTTAATTCTCTACTTAATAATAATTATAATTATAATCAATATGACTATATGATCTGGTTTAATTGTAAAGTGCCTTGAGATGGCATGCGTTGTGACTTGGCGCTATATAAATAAACTGAAACTGAAGGTCTGAAACCCGTTAACAACTGACATCAAGACAGTAGTTGATTTTAAAATCTCCACTACCAGTTAAAAACTGGATACCAAAGCTGCACTTATTTTTAATTATTATAAGTAAGCATTGTGTATGAGATGCATATTTTACAATTTGATGTTTTTAGTCTTCTAATTTGAAGAAGCATATTTTGTAAATTCTATCTAATATAAAAGTGCAACTGAGCACAGGAGCTGAAAATTTGCTTTAGCTACAAACATTATATGCAGCACTTCAGTGACTTGCTTTATCATCATGTTTGTTTGCACTGTATTTGCTTTTAGGGCCATCAGTTTGTTCAACTTATCAGCAGCACATTTCCAGTTCGCTCACATTCACATTTTTTTAATAAACCTTTTAAGGTGCAACACCATGTTATGCTGAATTAATGGGTTCTCTGTTTGACTTAACTGGTTAGGAAACAATTTTTTTTATAAACCTCTACTGTATGACATTTTTAAAAATTATATCTAAATGAAAAACCCTAATAAGTTACTGTAGTTAAAATTTCTGCTGCCTTTACCTTTAAATATATAAACCTTAAACACCTTAAGTAGACATGCTTTGTTAGTCAACACATTTATGACCAAAACAAGTTTTTATTAATGCAATGAACAGCAGTTTAGAACTTTTTACTTTCCGTTTTTACATGTGATCGCTAACATCGCTCCAATTAGGAACCCGACAGCAAACTCAGCTCATGTCACTCATTTTAACCAGCGGTTTTTGGAACTTTGCAATATGAGTTGTTTGCTTTTGCTCTTCAGTTAACACTGCTGTCTCCTTAATGGGGACACACAAATAATTCATCTAATGTTTCATGTCTTCAGGCCTCTTTAGTTTCATACTCTCAGCCCCATGTTAGCAAAGCCTCTGCCTGTCAAATGTGAAAGGCAGGGAACATGCTTGATCAGCACCGGGGTGACTGAGCGGACAAGCTGTGGCTCTTACCCCTGCTGCTAACCAAGGCTCATAAATCTACAGTCCATCGAAAGCACTTCATATTCAAAGATCTGCAAATAAACTTTTTCCTGACATGAAGTGCAACCTGATTGGATAAACTATGGATACATTACCAATTCATTTTTTACCTCTCTTGATATATAAAGTTTTTCCACTCAACGTAAAGAAAAAGAAAAAATACACTCTGTTAACACTGGTCAGTCAAAGATAAAGTTCTCAGAGACACAGCAGTGTAAGTTAAGGAAGCAGGAATTTCTACCCATATACCTGCCCTGTCACAACAACCTAAAATTAGAGCTGAGAAAGACTTTCCATTTCTCAGCTGTGCTGTCAGTCAACGATCTACATGGATCTAGAGAATCTACTCTTTAGGTCAAGATTCAAATCAGCAAAGCTCTAGTGCAGCAGAGCTTTGAAAAAAGGTCTACATGTAAGCCAACATTTTTATGGCATTCCTTATACGCCACCTGTGGGTCAATTCACAAATATTCTCTTTGTAGCTCCCCTTTTAAAAAAGGTCTTCCCAGGGCTTATGCACCTTGGATCATCCTCCGCACATGATGTTTTAACATCTTCACTATCGATATTTTTATATTGTTGTTTCATATGGGAAAATTCTTCTTAAATGAATTTTAAATTAAAGGTATAGTGGAATGATGTTCTTTTTCTGAGTGGGTCATCAAAATAAGTGCTCCTCCTAATTGTCAATCATTCTGGTGATATGTTTACATAAGGCCGTCCTACGTGCTTGTCCCCATTTTCACTTACTGGTGGTGAGTCTAACATTGTGGTAAATTGCAAATCTTCTTTTGGAAAGTAAGCTTGTATGATCAATGCGAACAGCAACGTTTAAACAGAGTTTGCAAAATGGACTCTTGCATGCTCTTGCACACGTTTAATAGGCATTTCCTCTCAAGAGCGGGTACAGGGTTATGTACTTTTTTTTTAAGTGAGAGGGCGGGTCTTTTTTAAAAATGCAAAAATCCTCAACTGTACCTTTAAGCTTTTATCTCAAGGTTTCACAATTTACCTCATCACTCAAGAGCAGGCATCCCCAACCTCGGTCCTTGAGGCCCGCGGTCCTGCAGGTTTTAGAGGTTTCCCTGCTTTAGCACAGCTGATTATAATGATTGCAGTAGACCAAAAGCCTGTTAATTAGCTTTCAATTAAAATCAGCTGTGCTGGAGCAAGGAAACCTCTAAAACCTGCAGGACAGCGGGCCTTATAGGACCGAGGTTGGGAATTCCTGCTCTAGAGGACAAACAAACATGTGGAAGACAGTGTTCTGGTCAGATAAAACCAAAATTAGGCTTTGTGGGCTAAACACAAAATATCGTCTATATTACACAGTATCATGTATTCATGAGGTAGAACGTTGTGGTGGCAGCATCATAAATTATTTTATTTATATTGTTTATTGTTTTTTTTCAGTTTTGTGAAGCTTGCATAAATATCTGCTACCAAGGTGTTCTCTTGTCAGTATATAACAAAAAACATGATCACACAGTAAGGGCTACAACAAACCGGGTTAGATCAAAGAATAATGTGACAACACTGTATCAAGTACATGAGATGTGGCAAGTCTTTAAAAATTAGAAGACCCTCCCCATCCATAAGCAACAGCTCAGTCCACGTTTTAGGAGCCAATTCAGCAGGCACACTGCTCCTTTTAGAATTATAAAATGTCTCTTTAACAGTCAAAAATGTTCTTGTTAGCCAACCTGAGAGCATGCAAACCTAAGTAAAGATGAGCCAGCGAGATCATTCAGAGACTTGAAAACAAAAAATAGATTTTAAAAGATTTTGTTCAAGGAAATCTGAGTACAATTACATGTTGTTCTATTTATTCCAGATTATACTGCCAAAAAATAAATGTTTTTTTTTATCTTTCAACTTTTAGGCAGTTTTCTGTTTTGGTCTGTCAGAAAAAAGGTCCTTGTAAAATTCACCAAAGGTTTGGGTCTTATTGTGATGATTGTAGTTGTAAAATAAAAAAAAAAAGTCTGCATAGTTTTGTGAATGTCTGTAAGCAGCTAAAGCTATCATACCTCTGAATTGAAGCGTATTTGACAAACGTTGCAGGAGATAATTGGCCTCTTTGTCTTCACAATAGGTGGTCCGAAGGTGTGGGTCATCACGGCCTTCTGGACAGGGTCCATCTGTTGAGAGAAACCAGAAATCTCATGAAAGAAACTCGGCAAAAGAAATGTGTGCCTTCTGATAAACTATATAAAAGTTTGGCTGAATGAGAATAGATGAGTGACATGGGAAGCAGTGGACGAGGAGGATAGCTGGGAGATGCTTAAAAGTGTGAGAACTGAAAGTGGATATGTCGCCTCAGTTGCAGGGTTCATGGTTCTTGGATGAAATTTAATTCCTTTAACTAATATTAAGGACAGAAAGTGCCAATTATAGATCCCTATATCAAATAGTTCTTGGTTATATTTCAAAAAAAGGTTACGTCCAGACATTTTGAATTGAGAAATCTGTTTGGATCGGAAGCAAAGCGTCTTAAAACTTGGAAAACATAGTCCATTGTTTTTTTGTTTGTTTTTTTTTTACTTTTTTTGGAATTACTATGACCTGCATATGACCTGCATATGACTGCATATCTTCACTGCATACTTGGTAATATTTAGTTCTTATATTTATTAATTCACTTTACCACTCATAAAGAAATTGTTCCGTGAAATATAATTAAACGACATTGAAAATAGAGTATAGCCTTGACATTGGGTTTAGAATAAATATACAGTTAGAAAAGAATAAATGAATAAAAATAAACAAGTCAACAGTGGTTTGAAAAGAAGAAGAGAATGATAAAGTAAAGACATGCACATTTTATTTTCATTTTCTATATTATAAACATTGAACTAAAACTACAAATTAGATCTTCTAAGTCAGTCATTTCCATATCAAGCACATACATGGGGCCTATAGTTTTAATTTAAGGGTGTTTTCCTACCATTCTTTTTTAGGCAGTTACAGTTGACTTGTTTGGGCTCCCTGACCTGTTTGTGGGGTTTAGAAAACCACAGAGCTGGGTGTTGCCTTGGTTAAACAGCCAAGAGTACACTGTGGTTTTACTCAGCCTTCCATCTCCGGTTCAACTGAAAGCATGTTGCTATATAAGATCTTTAACACCACGAAGCTTCAGAAAGCCACAGGAAATCTTGAACACATTTAGGGACCTGCATTTTTTTTTTTTTTTAGAATGATGCTAACCTTTGCTCAATGCTTAAAGCTTTTTCTGATAGGAGCTAAGTATAATGGTTATTGCCACCATTGCTGGTATCAAACAGAGGGAAAATGGACACATAAGTGTTTTAAAAAAAACAGTAGTTGATAGAGCTGGTAGTCTCACCAGATTATGGAGTATTTTTCATGCTAAAGCATGTAACAAACCTAGATGTGTTTGGCTCTGTGCCAAAACTTTGGGAGCAACGACACCTTCAGTCCATTGAAAAAATGGACTGAAAGCATCCCAAAATCTTTAAGGGATGTTTTTGAAAGTTCAATAAAAGTAGTATAGTAGTAGTAGTAATTATAAAATAGATAGAAAATGGTGGATCTTTTCTAAATATTTTGTGACAAACAATTGTTATGATTTGCATTCCATTCCTTCATGATAATAATTTTTAAATATTGGCTCATAAGCCTATTTTGCTAAATAACTTAAGCACAGCCGGACTGAATGGTAAATATCTGTAAAGAGCAATTTTTACTGTAGATTCACAGTTAGATTTAAGTCTGGGCTTTGACTGGGTCACTCAAATATGTTCTATAGAACATGCTTAGTATCACTGTCTTACTGAAAGGTGAAACTTTTCACATATTTTGCTGCAAATTAAAATTTATCCTTCATCATCTCAGTAACACTGACTGGGCTTTTCTCCACCTGCTGAAATACGAGTTCCTCACAACCTGATGCTGCCACCACTCTTTTTCATGGTGGGCATGATGCAATTATACTGGTGTGTATTTTTAGTTACCATCTTGCAGTTAGTTTTTTCCATGTAGGCTAAAGACTTATGATTTGCTCCCTTCTATATTGAGTGATAATGCTGCAGTATTTATGTTTTCATCCATGTTTATCAAGTGAAGACTGCTTAAAATACATTCTGTTTCTGTATTTTGTCAGTGATCTGATTGATTTTTCTAGTGTTGCATCTCTTTTCTGCATTTCTTTGGCCACCTGTTCTCATCAGGATCTCCATCTGTTCATCTATCCCCACTGTTACGACCTCATTAACTTATTTTATCTACTCCCTGTCTCCTCTTTCAGTCCCTAATACACTGGAGCTTTTGTTGCACCTGCACTATACAATGTTCTCTTTCTTTTGTATCCCTAGGAGTTTTGCCATATATAATGTTTCATTTCTTTGTAATTACTTTAATCACTAAGCCTTAATTGTTATAAATTCAAAATTTTATATCTAAAACTGATATTACTGTTTCATTACCTTAGACATTTAGTCATCCCCAGTCTGCATTTTAGGTGATCGAAACTTTCACCTTTTTTCTCTACTCCCCTCTCTGTCCTAGAACCCAGTTCAGAATAATTTGGTTTTTAAGAATGCATCAAACGGAAATCAGTCTGCTTTTTTGAAACTATACTACACCAATAGTTACAGAAAAGTGCTTAAACAGGGCCTTACTGTATTAAAAGAAGTTATAGAATCAATGCTTAAACACATTAGTAGCAATCAAAGGATATATTAGCAACCCCTACATACACAACTCAAACAGCTGCTTTCAAAGAGAAATGCACTGGAATTGAAGGATGTATTATCTTTTAGGTCCTTTAAAAAAAGATCTATTGTTTTATACTCTTCAAAAAGATCATTAAAGTGGTTTTAGTACAAAAAGGTAAATGGAAATGCCCTTTTTATGTTCAATTTATTTCAGTTTATTAACATAGCGCCAATTCACACATGTCATCTTTAGGCACTTTATAGGGAATGTTTAACATGATTATATGTCAGACTGGTTCAAAGTTCAAAGTCAATCCAAGGAAAAACCAGCTGTTTGACTCTTCAGCAATCCCTCACACCAAGCATGCTTGTAGTGACAGTGGAGAGAAAAACTCCTGTGTAACAGGAAGAAACCTCCAGCAGAAACAGGCTCAGTGTGAGCGGCCATCTGCTGTGGCTGACTGGGGTTATAGGGGAAAGAAGCACACATACAGAAAGAAGCTGGGATACAAAAAGTAACTGTCATCCAGCTCCACTACACTGAAAAACAGGCCAAGCTCCAACATCTATAAACAAGGATGTTGATGGCAGCAGTAACCAGCATTTTATGACAAAAGATTAACAAATCCCAAAGAGGCTGTTTTTATTGTTGAATCATTATTATGATGTGTGACTAAACTATATAAAGAATGTTTTGAACTACAGATTGTCCATCATGTATCCATAAAAACAGTGATAGCCATTGCACCAACTGAACACCAACTAACTTTTTTCACTTTTTGTGGCTCCAGTGCCAACGTCACCCACTGTTAAATCTTAAAAATGCATTTCTATGGCGTAAACTTGAAATAAGAGACTGCTCTCATCATCTTGAGGTTAAGATACTTATTCTTGTAGAATGAAATTGATAATCCCTTTAAAAGAACATTACAATGTTTAGGCTCTCTCTGTATAAAAGGTAAAATATAGTGTTAAGTTATACTGACCTGTTTCCTAATGTCAACCGAAGGTTATCTTTAACATTGAAGCAAACTAAATAGGATGGTACTTTATCAGAGATCATGATCAAGTGTTCCAACAGGGATACCGGTCAACTGACAATTAGATTATGTTAGATTCAACTTTGTTATCATTGCACCTATCACAAATACAAGCAAAGGAATGCAGATCACATCCAACCAGAGATGTTTAGGCAGTGATGGATAATATGTACACATTTAAATGCAGAGAAGCAGCATTAATCTATTTACAAATGTGTTTATAGAATTGTTTTCTGAATTATTTTTAAATTTACAAAACATGGTGCATGGTGCTTACAGAAGTGTAAACATTACAATAAGATATGCAATACAAAAAATAAATGTGCTTTAGTTTGACATTATACATATATAAATCATATTTTATATAAACATTTTTTTAAACAAAGGTCTGCAAACATAATCAATATTATTGAGAGTTATTGTTTTTACCAGTTTGTACTTTACAACCTTATTTTATTTCCTGCACCCTCTAAAGTTAAAACTCTCAGTGGTTATTCCATTTACATACATGGATGAGGCCATCCGTTTTAAACTTACAACAAAATTTTACAAATGTGTTAATCTTTCCTTTGCAAAAACAGAGTCGTTTGAATTAAGATGCTTCGCTGTATAAGATAGGACTGAATGTTTTACATGTAGATGAATGAATCATGAAGCTTTGCAGGGGTGCATGCAGATGAGAACACTGGCACCGTGTTTTTGCATCCTGGCTTGTGACCAGTCTGACCTCCACATGAAACCCAATCTTGAACTGAGAAGGAGCCACAGAAAAATGCTGACTATGGAGAACTTGGGCTGTGCCTCTTATTCAATTGATTAGCTGTAGCTCATTTTATTGCTGCAAACCGCTTGGCTGTGAGTCTTTTCAATTATGGTAGCACTGAATAAACAAACAGCTGTCATGCCATCATTTTAGATGATGAAATGCACCATAATACCAGAAGGGCTTCATTGTCCCAGTGGGAAAAAATGTATGTTGGTATAAATAAAACAAACACAACAATGGACATAGCAGTGAAACCTACTACCATCCTGATGTTTGCTCTCAAGTGAAGAAAACAGACAAAAGGGGACTGTCTGTGTTCTTTTTTTAACCTAAGTGCAGAGGGACAAAGGAATGTTTCAAGCAATAACTGTCTTTCAGGGGAACATTTTACTGTCGGGAAGTATCACTCTGAAATAACCACATGGGTAGGAATTAATATCTTTTACACCTGTCTAATTATGGCTGATAGAAAATAGACATTTGTCTCTGAAAGACAAATTAACAAGCACAGGTAAGCTAACACACTTCTGGGCAAGTCTTTCAATTTTAACCGTTGGATCCCAGATTTTTTTTTTCCTGCTAAGTTGTTGATAACTTGAGTGTATCAATATTTCTGTCCTTTATTGTTGCTGTCTTAGTTTCACATATTTATATGGTTTTTGTGGTTTTGCTCAAATTTAATGAAGTTGGCTATTATTAATTGAGTTGATTAATAGATTAGAAATTAGTAGAAAATCAGCTGGTTTTGTATGTTATTCTGCCAAAGTGGTTCACAGCCTATGAAGCAGATTGGACTACTGTACTTTGTTTCACTTATAGTTATAAATTTGTCTGAAGGAAAATTACATGTGGAGCTCCTCAAAGTTCAATTCGCAGGCATCTGTAGTTCAATATCTTTTTGTTCAGATTATGAACAACATATCTTAACATGTATTAATTAAACTATGTATTATATTACTAATGGATTAGTAATTGTTTTATGTTCTATAAAAGCAAAATCAGAGATCGTAGGTTATTTTTTTCAGAAAAACGAAAAAAATATGTCTTTACAACAATATATTTTCTTTATGGATATACATAAACACAGTGATAACTGCTGTTTGCCAGGACTTTTGATGTTTCTATCACACTGAATCACAGGTATGCATACTGAGGCTAGTTTATTTTTGTGATTAAAATATAAAATCGAGAGAATAAAATTCCAGCCTGCATGTACCATGTGCTAAAATTGGGATGTGGCATCATTCCCACATCCAAACCCTGACTTCCAAAACAGTTCCTGTTAAGCTTGCTTGCTACTACAGTATGTTTTTTTCTCATAGTAGCTTTGCCTCCTCTGTTCCTCTTTGGCTGTGACATCATCCTGGAGAGAAATATCAGGCCCGCTGCTTTGATCAACACCTATGTTTATAGATGTTCGAGATTGGCCTATTTTTCAGTGTAGTCCTGTTTCTCTGACTGTGACTGGCTGGTTGTGCTCTCTTCATCCTTTGACATGGGAGCTGGCCTTGGAGCTCGTCTTCCTGGCTGTGTGTTTCCTGGATGGGGCCGCCTTCTACAGTTGCTTTTTGTATCTCTGCTTCTGTCTCCTTGAACCCCAGTCGGCCTCAGCAGATGGCTGCTCACACTGAGCCTGGTTCTGCTGGAGGTTTCTCCCTGTTAAAAGGGAATGTTACCTCTCCACTGTTGCTACAAGCATGCTTAGTGTCGGGGATTGCATTTGAGTCAATGGTTCAATTGGTTTTCCTTAGATAGAAACTGTAAAGTGCCTTGAGATTACATGTGTTGTGAATTTGTGCTATATTAGTAAACTGAATTGAATTGAATTAAGCTTTACCACATGTCCTGATTTATGTGGGACAGTCCAACATTTTTTACTTCTGTCCTGCCGTCTCACAAATTAAAACAATGTCCCACATTTGACTTGGTCAGTTTACAAATATATAAAAAATATGAAGGAAGCAGAGCTGTGCCTTTGGTCCATCTAATTACCATGTGGTCAGGGGTTGGTCTTAAAATAGAAAAAGTTAAGGATTTTTAATGAAAATATTATAGAAACTACGATACATAAAACAAGATGTAGCCACACCAAAGACTGGAGCACTCTATAACTCGGTGAGGCTAGTAACAGGTGATTCTCAGAGAGCCTTTTGTAAAGTTTGCTTAAGTCATTTTTAAATTAAATATGAAAAGAGACCATTGAAAAGGAACATTGTAAAGTGAGTCCAAAGAGCAACACACAACTGACAAACTGTGTCTAGGAAGTCTCCCCACTTTCAAAAAGAAAGGAAAACAAAAAAAAATTCTGCATTTATAAAAACAGATCTGAAGTCAGAAATGAAGTTCTTTAAAACACAGTCACATCCAGTCTAGAACTGATGTGCTCTGAACCTTTAATAAAATAAATGCAGTAGGACCAAAAGCCCATATCATAAATATAAATGAATTAAGTCATGGCCTTTGCACATTCACAATGTGTCCAAATGTTGTTGGGTTTTTTTTTTTTTATAAATACTTGACTCTTTTTTCCTCTCATAAATAAATTTCACATTGTGCAGGTTTGTGCTTATTTAGGCTGTGATTTAGTAAGGTAGGAAAAAAAAAACAAATGCACTCTTTAATACTGAAATAATTTTCTGTCCAGTTTATAATCATTGATCTACATGGTTATATAGTGTTACAGGATTCACAAAGACTGTTTTCTGACCCAGCATCCCTATTGTTGTTTTGATTTGTGTGAAGTAACAGTCAGCTATAAATTCTCCTCACGTTATGATACATTTCTCACCTTAGTGGTTGTGATTTAAAGGAAAGCCACAGATGCTGAAAGAGAACTCACTGCATTAAAGTTGTGGAAGAGGCCGATGCTGGCCGGGTGAGGAGACTCCAGGGGAAACTGGAGAAAGGGTTTCATGTCCAGTGGGGGTGGGAGGACAGATGGATTCCTGAGGAAGGCAGGGACCGGCGCCGGTCGGTTTACACTTCCTGTTGTAGATGATGAAAAAACAACACATAAGACATTTACAAAGCAAACATTTTCCATCCATCCATCCATGTTGAGGTCTCATATGACTTCCTTTTCAATTGAGGCTTTATTGAAATATTAAAACATAAATTACAATAAATTCAAAGTAGAACTCTCTTTTTAGCTTTACAGAAGAGTTTAAAAGGAGACCCTACTTCACCACTTGATTCTTAAACCACTCCATCATCTGCACCATGATTTACCAGCATTGGGCACCACTTCCCACCCACATCTCTCCTCTCTATGTGCACCTTGCTCACTGAGCAGTAGCTCAGTGGCAGTGAATGCCTGCTATTGAGGTGTCTACTGTGATGGGCAGGAGGGCTAAGCTTCTTAAGCCTTGCAGCTCTGGCGCTGCAGATATCACTTTTTGCTTAAATTCTACCTTCATAGTGCTCTCTCTACTTTCCCCTCTTTCTATTTCTCTCTTCCAGCATTTTCTGTTTCTATTTCATGTTCACAGACTCTGCCTGCCTCTGGATCACTCATTCACCCGATCACTCCAGTAGTAATTTGGTTTTCATTTATCTTCATCTCTCCTTGTTTCACAGCTGCTCATTTTTGTTCATTTAGAAGATAATCAGCCAAATAAAAAAAGCGTAACATTTTCCATGGTTATCGTAGATACTTAGAATTGTTTATCTCCACCATTTTTTGATAAATGATTGGCAGCTTTTATTTGGTTTACTGAAAAAAAACTGGTACTTTGTTAACAGAAGATAAAGCTTTGCTTTCCCTGGTGGTTTAAATTTTCATAAGATATGGACATGAATAACTAAATGCTTAAATTTAATCTAATCTAACTAAATGCCTAAATCATTGATAGTGTACAGTATACACAATCAATGATTGTGTCTGTTTCAACCACATAAACTTTGTATTGGTTACCCAACATGCATGTTTTGATTGTGTGAGAGGGTCAGATTACCTAGAGCTGGCATGTCCAAAGTTGGCCCTCGAGGGCTTCTCTCCTACAAGTTTTTACTGTTTCCCTGCTTCAGCACAGCTGATTTCCATTGTTAGCTTATTAACAGGCTTTTGCCGAACTGCAATTGTCAAAATCAGCTTTGCTGATTTTCATCTTTGTAGTAACCTGTAGGGCAGCTGCCCTAGAGGACGGACTTTGGACATGCCTGGCCCAGAGAGAACTTATGCTTCAAACCAAAAAAATGCTCTAATGTCCTTTTTGGCAACATTACTGTACAATGCTACACTGTCCAGACAGACCTCTCTGAAACATCAACTTTTGTGTTAAGAGGAAATCAAATCCAAGATTACAAAAATTTGCTCAATGTTTCACATTTTATCTGCAGTTTCTAGCCCAGAACAGCATTTTCTCTACATGGTCCCAGATTGTTCAAAAACACACGTTTCGATGTGCTAAAATAACTAATGTTGCACAAAATAGGCCTTTAAAAAATAATAACAATAATTACAAAAATAAAATCTGCCCAGATTTGCAGAGCCATAAAGGCAAGTAGGTGATTCGATATTGGATATTGTCTGACCATTTCAATCATGTTTTCATTATTCAGGCATGTGAAGGTAGACTTTGCTTTGTAGCTTTTCTTCTGTAAAGTGTGGCGGATTTATCGTTTGTTTCATCATGATGCACATTTATTATAATGTTAAACCTTTCTGTCCTTTACCATCTGTTCTCTAGTGTAGGAATAAAATCTTTTAAAATGTCAAATATTACAACAATACAGATCAGTCGTCATCAGCAAGCCAGTCAGGATAGTTTTGTCCTTTTGTAGATTTAAACAAATCGATATAAACAAATCGGGTTCAATAAACGGTGTTCATTGAATACGTTTATATTTTTACTGAAAGGTGAACTGAACAGACCAGTTTTGAAGTAATGAACGTTAACAAGAGCAACGTTCACCCTATGAGTGGCACATGCGGCTCACATTCGAGTTCAATTAATAAGGGCACTTGTCATTGGCTAACATCAGGTTTTATGGAACTTATAATGGCAAAGAGCATGACAGACCAACATGTTTACTGCTAGTACTAATCTGGGTGTTTCAGACTCATCTACTGGTCTTTCTGAGGCCAGGTTTGCAGAGTAATTGGCAGAGTTTTATAAACTAACAAAGGAAGACCGAGACAGAGAAAAACTCATATTTTTGTGCAAACTGTGCCCATTGAGACTTAACTAACAAGTCCGTAAGTCAGCCACGTCCACTTCAAATTTAAAGCAACACTTTGAGTTAAAGCATCCAAGCTATCTTGGGACATAACTGCTACTGAACGAGGAACGTAGGAAATAACTTTTGATACAGAATCTTTTTCAGCAGAACCTAAATGTAACGGTATGGTTTTGAAGTATGTACTGTGGAATTGGGCTCAAAGGTTTAACTCCACATATATAATATACCTTGACTACAGAACACACAACCTGCTCATTTAAACAAGTTGGAACCAAACAGGTTTTCACTTGTTAAGATTTGCACAGCAATCTTTGTAGATCACGTATAACATCCCCACTTATTGCACATTGCAAGCAAAATTACACATGCAGTATTAGCGCCCCTTATTTGGAATCTTTGAAGATCAGATCCCATGTAAAATGCATCTATATGAGTTGCCCTTTCTAAAAGGACCATAAAAATATTCAAGTCCTTAACAATATTCTATTTTTTCATTTCCTTTAAACATCTGGAATTGGTAGGAAACGACATACTGTCTAAATATCTAGCTATTGAATTTTATTTTGCAATAACCAAACACATCATCTCCTTTTATCTAAAATCTTATAGCTGTCTTACTAATGAGAACTAGAATACCAAATGTTTGCTTTATTTAGAAGCTTAATTATTATGTATTTAAAAGAACAATTAAACCAGGCAGTAAATATATTAGTTTAATCTAAACCTATAATCAGACAGCTATGCAATAATGTCTCAGCTGTGAGGATTAATACTGGCATCATCACTGTTTCCTTTCTGGTTAATGAAGCTTATTCCTGACACGCTTCTGGTAAATCTGAAGCTCATTTTACGCTACATTAGAAGTGAAAGGTCACAGCCCATCTTCTATTATAAATCTCTATTTAAGATGCAGACACACTGGAGGGACGTTCTTTACAGTGCTATGTTATGCACCATACCAGACTCGCTTAGTTTGGTGTGTGTGCAAGCGTGGCAGCGTTATCCCCCCTGACCTACCCTCCTTCTGAGTGATTTACAATGACATCAGATAAGCGAACGGCGTGACTCTTCAGCAGCAAACACGTCAGGAGGGGGTGGGAGCATTGATTGGACACATTCTGAGGAGCGTTAAAGTGTTAAAGAGCTGCCAAACTCAATAAATCCAGGCACCAGTATCTACAGCTCCTTCACCTCAGTAAAATGAGAGCCATCTTACTGACTTTCTTTTTTCTAATGCAAATGTTTGGGTGATAAAAAAGATCAATGCCTGGGTAATAGCTTATTGAATTTATTTATTTTTTTGCATTAGTTGTGATTAAAGGCTGTTTGGTCATACTTGAAGAGAAAAATAAAGAAAAACAGAATTCTAGATTTCCCAAACCACACTGCAGACACACAGAGACATGAATAATCCAATAAGATGCAACTAAAGCCTCCTGAACTGGCAATTAATTTAGCCAATTTAGCTTTAATGATCATAGAGGTATTGTTGATGCCAGAGATGTTCACACCGCCTCTCTGTATTCGTGTCTGAATATGGGGAGGTTCTGAGCTCTGTGACGGCTTCAAATTTGATACCGACAGAAGACTTCGTCACATGCTGTCTACCAAATAAAAAGTGGTTTAAGTTAGAAACACTGCAGAGGGGTTGCCAAGAAAATAAAAAGAGTGAAAAAAATGCAAGCCATCTTTGGTTCCAGGCCTAACAGTTTGACGATGCCAACAGTGACACATCTGCATGTAAATGGCCCGCTGTGCAAAAATGACTCTGAAATGAGAGTCTGTTGTGGATTAGCCTCCCCCACCCTGCACCCACATTTACAGAATAACCCGCTTACTGTCACTGCAGCAGGGTGGAAGTGGATTTGTTAACCAGAAACCCACCACATGAAAACTATTTTTTCTTCCTCAAAATGTTTGCGTAAAAAAAGAAACTGAACCTGTGCGAAGAGAGTTGAATGCACATTTTGGTGGCAGAAAGCCTTATTTGTCTGTTTTTGATTTCTGACTTTTGATTCTACTTTTGCTGGAGTAAAGCTGATCCAAACTCATTGTCACATTTTGACACCATGCTGGTATTTATAACCCCTGCAATGCAAACTAAGTGTTCTGAAGTATTTGTTGCACCAACCCATCTCTCCTATGAGGTGTAAATGCAATGCAGCTGTGTTTCAGCCTCCTAACCTTTCGCAGTGGAAGATGGGTCTGTCTTAATGTCGCATGCTGCAACCACGAAGGACTGAGCATGAAATCCAATTTACTGCAGCTCAGCTTACCCTCAAGTCAGAGGAAGCTATATCAACCTAGGCGGGGGATGGACAGGCTTGTTCTCTGCACACACAACCCTATGGAATCTAAATGAAGGATGCTTTAAAAGAGTAACTTATGTGCTCAGTGGTGATAAATGTTGAGCTGTTCTGTGTGAGATTTGGACTGTGAGGAAAGGGCAGAGTGAAGAGTGGAGCTGAGTGCCAGTGGAGAAGAACATATTTGATTCCAGACTGCACTTTGTTTTAATGATAGATGCTCTGCTCGCCAGTTGCCTGACTTAAATACCGCCTCCCGGAGAACTCTCAGAAGTCCTCTCTTTCCTAAAATGTGAGCCACTATGTGCTCACAAGATTAGCCAGTCCATTTTCCAGTGGACTTTCTAATTTCATATGGAATTACTAATTAAAGAAATATTCCTATTTCCCCCTGCAGGGGAGGTTTTGTACGGCTCTCGTTATCTTTTAGATTGCTTGTTCTGATTATAATTTTCTTTTGTTTTTTTTTTGTTTTTTTTTGTTATGCTAAAGAATCAC